GTGGATTAACTCCTTCTCCTTGTCTATTGCACCTACAGGCTATAGCCACATGTAGTTTAGCTCCTAACACCAGCTGCAGCTTCCATGTTGTTGTAGAAGAATAACATAGAGCGCGTCATAATTAATAGAAGAATCCAACAATGAGAACTAAATATTGCAAGGATGAACAATGGAACACTACTGATCATTGTCTTAAGATCGAGGAAAAAACAAACAAACCACCAGCAAGCAAAATATGTGAGGAACTCCAAGAATAGCTATGGAAACACAAAAATTCGAAGTTTGTAGATTACCAAGTCTTTATTTTAAGTTCCAGCTACAAAAATAAAATAACTTCAGGAAAACTTAACCTAATTGTTAGCAGAGAAAGAGAACAAAAAATGGGGACTCCATCTTCAACTTCTTCAATCCCTACCACCACCACGAGGCTCATTCATCATCCTCTTACCAACACCACCAGCCTTCCTCCCCTACTACCCAAGTCACCGTGATGCTCATTCATCCTCCTCCTACCAACACCACCAGCCTTCCTCCCCTACTATCCCAGTTGCCGCCGATTCCGCAACACCGAAAAGCCCTTGTCGTCCAATTCTTCTTCAACTGACAGGGTTGTTTAGAACCACCTTGACCTCTTCTTAAATGTGATTTCAAGCACAACCATTATTTTCCTGCATAAAAAGCACATGAAAACAACATATTCAGATTCAGCCACTGCAAAGCAATAATCAACTATACATCTTCCACTTACGGGTCGGAAGCTCCAGAGCATGGCTCAACTGGGCTCATCTCCATCGGCCATCGTTGGGTTTCCTCATGAGAGAGAGAGAGAGAGGAGAAGAAAATCAAAACTTGCAAAGAAATCAGGTATAAGAGGAAAATAAATTGAAAGATAAGGTGGAATTGGTGGTTGGGTGGGTGTTGGAAGGGAAGAATGGTGGGGAGAGGTGGCTTCCTCTATGAATCGCGAGCTGCAGTGGGTTGCTGAGGCAATTGAATAATTGAAAAGCAAAAAGGGATGGCAGGATTTGGGGTGACTAGTGAGGAACGGGGGCGAGATTTTGGGAATGGGGTGAGGGTACAGTCACAGTGCCAAAGAAGGGAGTAGGGACGCCATTGGAGAGATGAAGCGAGTGTGTAACAGGGCAAGAGAGGGCTCTTTTTCCTTCCGCCAACAACAATCGCAGTCCTAACTTTGAAAATGCAAATGGAATGGTGAAAGGATGGGTACGACCTGAGACAGACATGGTCGGCTGCTGATTTTAGGGTAAGGGCACGAGGGAATGGATGGCCGGCTGCCGCGAGGACGTTTTTGGGAATCTGTTATGCGAAGCTCTCACTGGTTGTCACACAAAACGACAAAAATTGAAACAGTAGTTGAAAGTTTGGGCCAACAAAGGTTAGTCCACTATTATATAGAAGAGTGGCAAACCAGTAGAGTAAGATCATAAAACTTGGATAGATCGTATTTATATTCATTCATATATTGATTTATATAATTTCTGGAAAGGGGGCTAAAGAAAATCACAAGGCCTTCCCCTTGGTGAAACGCTCCATAACAACATTACCTCGGAGAGATTGAGGGTTAGGCATCCGCCTAACAAGACTTAACAACATTGCACTACTTGGAAAATCGGTACGGTCTCTCCTCACCAACCAGAATAAATTATGGGTGCAAATAATGCTTGCTAAGTATGGTCAAGTATCCTGCTCTACTACTTCATCATTTGCTTCTCCTATTTGGAAAAGCATAACTAAGACGTATAAGACTCTTCGAAAGGGATTTAGTTGGCGAATCGGAAATGGACGCAGTGTCAACTTACTGAATGATTTTTGGACCCCATCTGGCCAACTCCTAAATCAATGTTTAATCCCGACTTATACCAACTGCGATGACTTACAGGTTTCCAAATTCATTACCTCGCCAGGTATGTGGAACGTTACTCTCCTCCGTGAAATGTTTTCTACACCTGTTGTCGAGGAAATTACATAGGTTCCCCTTCCATTGATTGGAGATCTTAATCATCAAATTATATGGCGTTACTCAAGTAATGGAAGGTACTCATCTAAATCAGCGTATTGGGCAATTTTCTCAAAAAATCATACTGTTCTAGCCTCACCAGCGACAAGTTGGCTGTGGATTTGGAAGCTGCCTGGGCCTCGACGGATTGCTTCATTTGTCTGGTTATTAATTCATAATAGCATTCCTTCAATGGCCTTTCTCAAGTATCGTCATCTTCCCGTGGATCCAGTTTGTCCTAGATGCTGTGTTGAACAAGAATCGGCTCTACATGCCATACGAGACTGCTATTATGCCAAAGCAAGATGGTTAAAAATATTCCCCCCAGATCACTCTTCCTTTTATGATTTAGGACTACAGGAGTGGCTATACACTATTTTAGTGCAACATGTAGATGACATAACACAAGGATTCTCTCTCAAGTGTTGGTGTATGTCTATTATGTGGCACATTTGGAAGGAACGGAATGCCCTGGTGCATTCTCAAGAGTCCTGGTCCAAGGAGAAATTTTGGCAAGCTGTGATTGGATTGGTTTCAGAGATAAACATCTCCACCCCACCATCTAACTCGTCTGCCACTACAGTTAGAAGAATTAGTTGGCAGCCTCCTCCCGATGGATGGGTGAAACTGAATGTAGACGGTAGCGTGAAAGGTGATCCCCCATCATCGGCTATTGGGGGAGTAGCTCGCGATCCAGCTGGTAATTGGATAGCAGGCTTTTACACGCATGTTGGACATTGTTCTGTGCTAGAAGCGGAGCTCAAAGCTCTTAGAGATGGTCTCTCCCTCATCTGGGTTTTGGGTTACTGCAAAGTGTTAGTGCACTCGGATTCATCAACAGCTGTCAACCTTATCCTCTCCGAGAAAGAGTTGTTTCATCCTCTTGGAATGATTATTGCCGATTGTCATACTATGCTACAAAAGTCTTGGGAAATAGAACTGTCATACAGACTACGAGAAGCCAACATAGTTGCTGATGCAATGGCAGAACTTGGCCATGATTGTCGCTCAGGAGAACGCCTTTGGCCTTCTCCTCCAAGCTCCATATTACAACTTGTGGATTTAGATAGAAGAGGGCATATGTATTCCCGCTCCTAGCTTGTATCGTCTATAGTTATTGTCCTATTTCATTTCATTTTCCGATGTACCAAAAAAAAAAATTCCTCGAGAACAAGAGTAACAGTGAAGACTAGGGGTGGCAATGGGTCGGGTTTTGCCAAACCCAAACCCATGGGTTTATTCGTGAAAAAAACCCGGGGTAAAACCCACTGGGTTTGAAAAACTCAAACCCAATCCAACTCGCTGGCTATCCGCGGGTTCATCGGTACCACACGGGTTTTTATCGTAAAAACTTTACAATAACAAGTTCCTATCAAAATTAAAGTCAAATATCAATCTTTCAATACAAGTCTAGAAAATTCAAACAAATCACAAATTAACTATATAAATTGTTCAACACTAATCTAGAAAACTCAAGAAAATTAAAGCAAATCACAAATTATCCATGAATAACATGATTAATTGAAAATTTTCTTCCTCCTTGTCAATTAAGTTTCTTCACTCTCCGCTCGATAATATCAAATTCCTTCTACACAATTAGAAAGAAAAAATTAGACATGTCTCCACAAACATAAATGAGATTAGTTGTTTAGAATATTAAATATATCGAGAAAATTAATTATATGGGTATGGGCGGGTACCCATGGGGCGAATTTATCTAAACTCAAACCCACCCAACCTGGTGAATAGTGAACGGATTTAAACCCGAACCCGACCCAAAACCCGTCAACACGGATTTTACCCGCGTTAATCGGATTGGGTCGGGTGGATACCCGTGGGTTCGGGTTTTGTTGTCATCCCTACTGAAGACAGCTTCTGTATTAACTCGCAAGTTGAACAACCGAACAACTAAAACAAACACACTCTTCTCTCAACAACAACGACACTCTCATTCCTAATGCATTCCCCGCAACCCCCTTCCATTTTGCACCCCTGGACACCCCAAAGGGAAACTATCGTATGATCGCATGACAAAATCTGAAGTGGTCGTCAAGCATGGATCTCAGATGGACACTATCAGCTTATTTGCGCCGTCTGTTGGGGACCAACTCTGGACTTCCTTTTCTCATCATGGATGCAAACTCGTCGTATTTGATTCTTCCATCCTATAAATAAGCAGTTGGAATTCAGTCCCTCCATGATTGTGTGTGCATAGAAAGAAAAAGAACATAACCGAAACAACCAGAACGCGTACATTGTCGGTGTATACTTGTGCAATTATCTCCTTTATTGTTCTGGGATCAGTCATGTTGTATTTGCTTGAACGCATGCTCCAACTCTTCCGTAGTGATGTACCTAGAACGAAACAAAGACAGAGAAAGCAAGATGTGGTAGAGGGAAGAGATTTCATGAAATTGCATGAAAGAACATTGAAACGGTGAGAATACCCGCTCTTGTCCTTGTCGAAATATTCAAAGGCCTTGTACAAATGATCCTCTCTTTCCATTCTATTCAAGTGCATGGTCGCTGTGATGAACTCTATGTAGTCGATTGTTCCATTTCCATCCACGCCTGCCTAAAGAGAGAATATCACATTACTGTCAATTCATGGTCTTCTACTCAATGCCAGAAGCAATGCTAAGCTCATGCAAAGATAAGAAACCATGGAAAAGGAGCAGAGATTATACCGCTTCCATTAATTGCCTGACTTCAGACTCGGAAAGCTTGGTTCCGAGCTTTGGAAGACCAGCCCTCAACTCCTCGTAAGCTATGGTTCCATTGTTATACGTGTCCATGGATTTAAACATTTCTCTTAACCCCATGATTTCTTCCTCAGAAAGATTTTCCGCGATTACCTCCCTGGTAAAAGGGAGAGATTAAACGATAGCTCAGAAGCTAGGAAAAAGGGTAGCCCAACAATCTATGTGAGGGCATCACACCTTCAGAGCTACTTTTTTTAGCTTGTTCATAGCCTTGAACTGTTTCATTCTTTTGATAAAACAGCAATATCAAGAGGCTTATAAGATGTATCACCGTCTTCTCTCGTCCATGGATGATCTGCATTACATTACAAAATTTGACCTTTTGTTCAATGTCGCTCCCTCATATTCAGAATCCAAGTCAAGGGTAATCTTTCTTCATTTCCACTGATGACATAACACTTACTGAGGACTTCGGCTGCTGATAGTCTTTCCTTTGGATCAACCCTCAACATCTTCTTGATGAGATCTTTACCACTACTGGATATTGAAGGCCAGGGCTCGGAAGAGAAATCAATATGTCCATGCAAAACAACATCAAAGATAGCCTGCTCCATTTCTGTGCACCAAAGAAACGAAGCCAAAGATGAGATGCTAGCAGGGGATGAAGAAATCCACAAAGGATTGAAAAGAGAAAGACCATAATGATAGTCTCTATTCTGTTTGTATTTCTTCTTACTGATTCAAGTTACATGGAGACCTATCTACTTGTATATATACACGTGATATTGCTTGGTAAAAGATAAGAATAGCATGTGAGAAAAGAAAGCTACCAGAGAAATAAAAGCTAGCATGTGTCTGCAGAAGATAACATTGAGATGGGGAAAAATAAATAGGGATGGTGAGTTAATGGACTTGTCTCCGACAAGTAATTGAATGATGTGGTATGGAAGATTTCTACACTCCCCCTCAAATTGGAGCATGAAGGTCACGAGTGCCCAATTTGGAGAGAAGGAATCGGAATCTATCACTGCCGAGTCCCTTAGTGAAAATATCAGCCACTTGATCTCGTGTGGGTACCTTGCAAGGGAGAATGTCTTGAGAAATTACACGTTCACGAACAAAATAGCAATCCATCTCGACGTGTTTGGTGCGTTAATGAAATACTGGATTAGCGGCAATGTGAAGAGCCGCTTGATTATCGCAGTAGAGAACGGTTGGTTGCGATTGTGGTGCTCCGAGTTCTCGGAGGAGCCATCGAAGCCATATAAGTTCACTGACAGTGCTGGCCATGGCTCGATATTCAGCCTCTGCAGAAGAGCGAGCAACAACACTTTGCTTCTTAGTGCACCAGGAAATGGGTGACCTGCCAAGAGTGATAAAGTAACCTGTTGTGGATCGACGGGTGAGTGGGCAACCTCCCCAATCAGCATCACAAAAAGCAGTTAGTTCAACATGACCATCAGCTGGCAAAAAAAGACCCTGTCTCGGAGCTCGTTTTAGGTAATGAACAACACGCTGTGCAGCTGAGATATGGGTGGAACCCGGAGAGTGAACAAATTGACTCAAGATGTTGACAGCATAAGCGATGTCAGGACGTGTAACTGTAAGATATAGAAGACGGCCAACAAGACGACGGTAAGCAGCGGCATCTTGTGGGGATGCAACTTCTTCAGATTCAGAACTCGTCAAACGGTGGTTCTGCTCAATCGGGAAGATGCTTGGACGTGCATCACTTAAGCCAACTTCTTGCAAAATGTCAAGAGTATACTTTCGCTGAGAGAGTACATTCCCATGTTCTGATCGAGCTACTTCTATGCTGAGAAAATATTTCAAAGGCCCAAGATTTTTTATGCTGAAACGCTGATGAAGAGTCTGTTTCACATGTTCGATGAATTGTGAATCATCACCAGCCAGGATGACGTCATCCACATAAATGAGAGCCACCACAAAACTTGATGAAGTTCGATATATGAACATGGAGGGATCAGCACGAGATAAAACGAAACCCATGGAGAGAAGTGCCGAAGTAAATTTTGCGTACCAGTTTCTGGAGGCTTGTCGAAGACCATAGAGGGATTTGCGTAACTTACATACGCGATTATCTCCATTTTGAAGAAAACCTTGTGGTGGCTTCATGTACACTTCCTCATCCAAATCTCCATGCAAAAAGGCATTGTTGACGTCGAGTTGATGAACAATCCATCCCCGAATCGCTGAAATGGCCAATAAGCAACGAACTGTAACCAGTTTAGCCACCGGTGCAAAGGTGTCATGAAAGTCAACCCCTTCAACTTGAGTAAACCCTTTTGCGACCAATCTGGCTTTATACCGTTCAATGCTTCCATCGGGATTATACTTGATCTTGTAAACCCATTTTGAGTCGATAGCACGCTTGCCGAGAGGAAGTTCTACGAGGATCCAAGTTCCATTTTCTTCGAGAGCTTGAATTTCTCTTTTCATGGCCTCTCGCCAAAAGGAATTACCAATGGCTTGATGGAAAAATTGTGGCTCACAATTATTTGTAAGAGAAGCTAAAAATGCTTGATGTTTATGTGAAAAATAACCATACGTAACATAATTAGAGAGTGGATATTGAGCATCTTTAGCTTTAGGACTAGGTTTGAGATTTTTTGGTAAATCTACCTCATATCCATCAAAGTGGCTTGGGAGCTTGGAGATGCGCTTGCTCTGCCGAATGACTTGAGAAGGCTCTAAATTAACCCCAATACCTCGTTGGTCGTTCACAATTTCAGCACTTGAGTTTGGAGAATATGACCCATCATCAAATAAGGGGTCGTTTGCTTCATGGATTTAAAAATGAGGGTTTTGTAATTTAAAAACCCAAGGATTTATCAAGGATTTGAGGCATCATGGATTTGTAACAATCCTTTGTTTGTTGGGATGTTTTTATCATGGATTTAAAGGTGTGGGATTTACTACTTGAAGTCAAAAATTACATTACTGCCCTTTTCTATATGTTTGACATGTTTATAATATGTACACAAAACAAGGACAAAACTTCGAAATTACCTTACTATCATTTTCTATATGTTTGACATGTTTATGATATGTACACAAAACAAGGACAATACATACTAATAAGCATAATGTTGCCACATGAACAATAATAATAAACAAGAAAATTCCGTTTTAACTTTTAACGTAACATAATCAATTACCAATTCTTTGTCATCCTTTTCAAAAGTGACATATAACAACATATATTAGAATCGGGAGAACAAAGAATTACACGTTCCATGAAAAGGTCAAAGAAAACTAGAACACAAGAAATGATATAAAAAATCTAACTCATGTTTGCATTTTGCACATTAATTGAACGTTTATAGGATTCATTTATTGTTAATTATAATGTATAATAGTTAAATTTTAGGGCAACCTTGGAATATTAAAAGTGCATGAGGGTATATGAGTAAAATCTCATCAAGGATTTATGCCATATTCCAAATCCCACATCAACATGTGGGATTTATAAGTCCGTGGGGTCCACGGATTTGGACCCTTAAAATTCGTGGGGCCCACGGATTTGGTCTCCAAAAAAAGTGCAAGCAAACAAAAGATTGTACCTAAATCCTTGATAGTTGGTTTTTTGGTACCAAATCCATGTACCAAATCCTTGAAGCAAACGACCCCTAAAACCTCTGGATTGTTTATTTGGCCTTGAAGTGGCCCATGGGAGTTAATGGGCTCGAATTGACTTGGCCCATCATGAAATTGGATTGAGGAAGGGGGCCCAGAAGAATGGAATTGATTTGGCTGCTTCATTCTGTGATGGCTGGCCGATTGGGGGGATTTTATTTCCCCAACTCTTTTGCCCACGACGTTGTCGAGATGGAGCAGTTGCGGCGGATTCGCCGTGGGAGCTCCTGCCGGTGCCAGAGTGATAGTTTCCTCCACCCGATCGTGGTCGCTAGGAGGGCAAGGTGGTGATGCCGAAGAGGAATTTGGGATGACTGCAGGCAGAGAGTTTGCAGGCGGTGGTGAGAAAGGCAACGCCGGATGTGGGTCTGCGGCTGTGGGACCGTCATTTGCAAGGTCGTCTGCTGGAACTGATGTTGTTTCAGGCGATGAATTCGGTGATGGCTGTGTTGACGTCTGGTCCTTGAATGGAAAGACTTGTTCGACGAAGAACACATCTCGGGAGATGAAGATGCGATTGGTAGCAAGGTCGAGTAATCTATACCCTTTCTGAGCGGCTGGATATCCGAGAAAGACACTGGGTCTCCCCCTTTCCGCAAATTTGTCGATATGCTTATGATTGTCTCGAGCATATGCAAGGCAGCCGAAGATTTTGAGATGCTCCAGTGGTGGTGATTTTCCAAAAAGCACCGCATAAGGCGTCTTGTTCTGAATACTGCGGGAGGGCATCCTGTTAATGGGGTATGTTGTTGTAAGAATGCACTCACCCCAGAATTTTATGGGTAAATTTGCTTGAAATCTGAGTGCTCTAGCTGTTTCAAGCAGGTGACGATATTTTCTTTCGACTACTCCGTTTTGTTGGGGAGTGTCTGTACAAGTAGTTTGCAGCAAAACTCCATTTTCTTCATAGAACTGTTGGAGACCACGTGTCTGAAATTCAAGCCCATTATCTGCACGAATGCGAGCGACATTCTTCTGAAATATAGTTTTGACCATATGACAAAAAATGAGTAAGTATTTCTCAACTTCCGATTTGTACCGCAAGAGATATACCCATACTGCTCTGCTGAAATCGTCAACAATGGTGAGAAAATAGCGTGCTCCAGTTAAAGAAACAGAACTGTAACCCCCCCAAATATCGATATGTAGAAGTTCAAAGCAAGAAGTAGTCTTTATTGAACTAATAGGAAATGGTAAACGTGATTGTTTAGCTCGTAGACAAGCATCACAATGTGTAAGTTTACACTTATTTTTGGTCAAATTGCTGAAAAGTTTCATTTTCTGCTCAGAGGGGTGCCCAAGTCTGGAATGCCAAAGTTCTGACTCACTCGTACCACTGCCATGTACTGCCAAAGCCTTCTTCCCTTCTGTGTCAAAGAGATTTAGGTAGTACAACCCATCTCTTAACTTACCCGTCCCAATCAGCTTCTTCGAGTGTAAGTCCTGGATTGCACAAAAATTACTCAAGAAGATCAAGGCCACATTGTAATCACGAGTAAGTTTACTCACTGACAGTAGGCTGCATTTGAAGTTTGGAATGCCTAACACATTACTTAGCTTCATCCCATTCGACAAATGAACAGTTCCTACTTGTTGGACGGGTATTTTATCACCATTTGGGATAGTCACAGGCATATAAGTATGAGAATCGCCACTATTTTCCAAAATTCCAGCATTGTTAGTGATATGCTCATTGCATCCTGAGTCTATAATCCATTCATGTTCTGAAATTTTCTTACCAGCCATGTTGACTGTAGGTGCTCCAGATGAAGAGGATGCTTTAGATGGACTTCCACTATTCAGAAATTGCATGAGTTGTCGACATTGGTCCATCGACAATCCAGGAACACGACTGTTTTCTAAATCAGCAAAGTGGGCTGATTTAGAACCACTTTTGAGATCGTCAAATTTACGCCAACTTCCCTTTTCTCCAGGTTTCAAGTTTTTAGGCGGATAGCCCACCAACTCATAGCATTTCTCCTTGACATGCCCGAGTTTGTTTCAGTGGGTGCATCGTGGTTGTTCTTTCCCATCATGTCGGCGCTTACCACCATCTTTTGTGACAACATTTGCTTGGTAAGCTGCTGCTTCTATAATTGGTTTTCGAGTTGTTGCGATATTCCTTTGTTGTTCATCTTCAGCCACCATGTGATAGGCCTCTCCAAGGGTTGGTGTAGGCTTCATGTTGAGTGCTTGTGACCTTACAGTAGAGAAAACATCTGCAAGTCCCATTAGAAAGTCAAAAAGTCTAGCGTTTTCACTAATCTCCCTCACCCTCTTTTCTAGACCACATGTGCAACGATTGCAAACACATGTTGGTTGTGGTATGATGGAGTTGGATTCCTGCCACAACCCTCTTAGCTTCGTATAGTAGGCTGAAACTGGCAGTTTCTCTTGTTGGAGGAGTGAGATGGCTCGCCTTAACTCACAGGCACGAGGTGCACTTCCCTTCCCGAATCTCTCTTGAAGATCGACCCATATCTCGCGGGCTGTTTTCGCGTATCGGACACTGGTTCTCACCTCTTTGTCCATGGCGGTCTTGAGCCACCCTTTCACCATGGCGTCACACTGGATCCAGGTTGCAAGGTATTCATTTTCCTCGGCTGGTTTCTGTATGGTGCCATCGACAAAGCCCATTTTGTGCTTTGCTAGAAGAGAGTTGGTCATGTCGCTGACCCACTCTCCGTAGTTTTGATCGGTGAGTGGATCACTTACGAACATTTGACTAGGATTGTCTGAATTATGCAGACTCTATGCGGAAGCTGCCTCCTTTTTCATGGTGCTCACAATGGGACTCTCTTCTCTGCTTTGCTGGTTGCTTGTAGCTGAGGTTTGGAGATCACTCATTATGTATTTCACTCAAGAAAAGGAATGAGAAGGGAAAAGATTTGCAGGATTCTAGAGAACCCGCTCTGATACCATGAAGAAATCCACAAAGGATTGAAAAGAGAAAGACCAGAATGATAGTCTCTATTCTGTTTGTATTTCTTCTTACTGATTCAAGTTACATGGAGACCTATCTACTTGTATATATACACGTGATATTGCTTGGTAAAAGATAAGAATAGCACGTGAGAAAAGAAAGCTACCAGAGAAATAAAAGCTAGCATGTGTCTGCAGAAGATAACATTGAGATGGGGAAAAATAAATAGGGATGGTGAGTTAATGGACTTGTCTCCGACAAGTAATTGAATGATGTGGTATGGAAGATTTCTACAGGGGAGGCAGGATCAATAACAATTAGAGCGTGCCACTTTGTATTTCTTCTTACTGATTCAAGTTACATGGAGACCTATCTACTTGTACATATACACGTGATATTGCTTGGTAAAAGATAAGAATAGCATGTGAGAAAAGAAAGCTACCAGAGAAATAAAAGCTAGCATGTGTCTCCGACAAGTAATTGAATGATGTGGTATGGAAGATTTCTACAGGGGAGGCAGGATCAATAACAATTAGAGCGTGGACTCTAACTGCATCATATGCGATTCCACGAGCTTAATTTAAGTGTATAAGCAACCAATGAAATTCTTAGTTATGCAAATGTGGCCAACACCACAACAAAGGAGAAAACAAACAAGAACTTTATGCTCTATATATAGTCATTCAAAAGTTCAGAGTTCTCTCAAACAAAATGGTCAAAGCTACAGACCTCCCTAGAATGGTGGAACTCCACTGAGCAGATGTACAAGATAACACCATCACTCCATATATCAGCCTCGGGACCATAGCTTCTTCGCAGAACTTCAGGAGCTACATAATATGCACTTCCAACAAGGCCCTTGAACACATCTCCTGCAATGGCAGATCAACTGTAATGAATCAAACCTTCAAAACAAGTCAAGCATTTCTAGTCCAAGAGCTGACTGGACAAAAATGGGAATCTAGCTCGATGGTTTCAAGATTGCAACAACTAAGAGATTCCCTATCTGGCTTGAAAAACTAGCCTAGTTATTCTGCTAACTTAAAGTTTCGTTAGTATATACTAACTAATATCCAAAATATATGAACTAATATCGAAGTATGCTAAGTATCTAGATAATACAGACTAATATTCAAAACATCACAAACTAGTATCTAGATAGCAGATACCAACTAATATCCACAATCAACCAACTAGTATTCAATATGGATATTCTTATGGGTTATGTGGATACTCTTCTGTGTTATCCGGATACTAATTATGTGCTGTTTGGATACTATTCTGTGTTGTCTAGATGTTAGTTTGTGAATTTGGGATAATAGTTGATTCATGGTGGATATTAGTTAGCAAACTTTGAATACTAGTCTGTGGTCTCTAGATACTTTAATACTTGGATATTAGTTCATGTATTTTGAATATCAGTTAGTATCTGCTAATGAATCATCAAGTTAGTAGATTAACTTTCCCCTGAAAAACACAGAGAGCCCGAAGTCAATAGCCTTGAGAGGCGATTCCTCAGCTGTACTCAAGAAGAGGAAATTATCCTGCTTCAAATCCCTATGCATTACCCCCATAGAATGGCAATTGTGCACCACCGTGACGATCTGCAGGCAAAGCCCAGCCGCCGCCCTCTCGGAGTAATGTCCCTTGGCGATGATCCGATCGAAGAGCTCCCCACCGGCGCAAAGCTCCATCACCAAATTGAATGAATGTCGATCCTCGTACGCACCCTTCAGCTCGACTATGTTATAGTGACCCGTCAGGTGATGCATAATCTGGACCTCGCGGCTGACGTCTTTAATGTCGTCTCGATTGATCAGCTTCCTCAATGAGATTAACTTGCAAGCGAACTGCTCTTTAGTCTCCCGGTGGGTTACTAAGTAGGTAACTGTGAATTGGCCCCGACCTATTTCCCATCCGAAGATGTAAGTGGACCGGACGTACTCCATCGGCCGACCCAGAACCCGGCCGACGGCAGCGGAGGGGGTTGAGTGGTTAAAAGAAGTCTGGTTTGAGTGGGTCGGAGGCGGTGGAGGGTGGGGCACGGGGAATACCCGCTCACACTCATATAATTAATTTTCCTGGTATATTTAGTTTTCTAAGCAACTAATCTTCTTTATGTTTGTGGAGACATATTTAATTATTTTTTATAATTGTGTAGAATGAAGTTGATATTATCGAGTGGAGAGTGAAGAAACTTAATTGACAAAGAGGAAGAAGCTTTCAATTAATCATGTTGTTTATAGATAATTTGTGATTTGCTTCAATTTTCTTGAGTTTTGTAGCTTGGTGTTAAACAATTTGTGGTTAATTTGTGATTTGCTTGAATTTTGTATAATTGTGTTTTATATATGGATAGTTTGTATTGAGAGATTGATATTTGACTTTTATTTTTATAGCAACTTGTTATTGTAAATTTCTTACGACAAAAACCCATGGGTACCCATGAACCCGCAGACACAGCAGGTTGGGTTGGGTTTGAGTTTTCCAAACCCAGTGGGTTTTACCCCAGATTTTTTTCACGGATAAACCCATGAGTTTGAGTTTGGGTTTGACAAAACACGACCCAACCCGACCCATTGCCATCCCTAACCCTACGTGCCACTTTGTGGCAGCGGGGTCTACTAAACCTGGGGAGTACCTGCGTCAGCAACATTTTCAAGGCCTAGCACCTGATATTGGGGGGAGACTTTATCTCCAGCACTCGTGGTGCTTCCGGGAACACCAAGTGGTGTAGTGGGGTTCGAATCTGAGACCTCATACATCTCAAACCCGAAAGACCACACTCCCGACCAACTCGATTGTGTTACCTTTGGCAGAAGGCCGGCCAATTACTTTCCATTTGGAGGTTAATGATGACTTACTGCTAATTGGTTTCGCTGATTACTAATTAGTCATATTTGCATTGTTATAAGAACCGAACCAGATCAACAGTTGGCCAGTAGAACCGCCAAACAAGTTACGATAGCGGTCCGATTCATTGCTTGGACAACATAAAATCAAATAAATCACCACGGTTTAACTGGTCCACTAGTTCACTATTTTAAGCAAAAAAATAAAAAATACTTTAACTTAAACTAAGATCATCAAATCATAATTATTAATTTTATATATGCTTCCTCTTCTAATTTTCGAACCTTGTTGTCGACTCTATGTTCTCCTCTATTGACTAGCACTGTAATTTTAATTTCAATGAAAAAATTATGATTTCTTTTGTGAGAGTGAGACTGTTTGAATGATTTATTAGATATTTTGGTGATGATATGAATTTCAAGGTGAATGATAACTTCATTCTTAAATTAGTGTAATATACAAGTCTTATATGTTATATATCATGAACGGTTCTATCAGCGGTTCATCAACGACTTTGTAAAGGTTAACCAATGAACCCTAAAACACTAAATTTTCCGGTTCAGCCTCCGGGTGGTGTAGTGGGGTTCGAATCTGAGACCTCATACATCTCAAACCCGAAAGACCACACTCCCGACCAACTCGATTGTGTTACCTTTGGCAGAAGGCCGACCAATTACTTTCCATTTGGAGGTTAATGATGACTTACTGCTAATTGGTTTCGCTGATTACTGATTAGTCATATTTGCATTGTTATAAGAACCGAACCAGATCAACAGTTGGCCAGTAGAACCGCCAAGCAAGTTACGATAGCGGTCCGATTCATTGCTTGGACAACATAAAATCAGATAAATCACCACGGTTTAACTGGTCCACTAGTTCACTATTTTAAGCAAAAAAAATAAAAAATACTTTAACTTAAACTAAGATCATCAAATCATAATTATTAATTTTATATATGCTTCCTCTTCTAATTTTTGAACCTTGTTGTCGACTCTATGTTCTCCTCTATTGACTAGCACTGTAATTTTAATTTCAATGAAAAAATTATGATTTCTTTTGTGAGAGTGAGACTGTTTGAATGATTTATTAGATATTTTGGTGATGATATGAATTTCAAGGTGAATGATAACTTCATTCTTAAATTAGTGTAATATACAAGTCTTATATGTTATATATCATGAACGGTTCTATCAGCGGTTCATCAACGACTTTGTAAAGGTTAACCAATGAACCCTAAAACACTAAATTTTCCGGTTCAGCCTCCGGTCCGGTTCTGAAAAAGAGCATATTTGAACTAAAAGATTAGTTCTCATGAAAAATGATGCGTCTGCCGGGAGTCGAACCCGGGTCTATTGCTTGGAAGGCAATTATACTAACCGTTGGACTACAAACGCAAGTCATTGATTGTGCAAGACAAGAGGTTTAATTATACAAACTATAATCTTTAAGTTACGTGGATGTTACGTTGATGTACATCAAGTTTTACGTGATACGACTTGCAAAACCTTATACATCACTAATTAAAAAGTTCAAATTGCCATTGTTATAGAAACTTGATGACTTGCAAGGATTTCTCCAAATTATATAATTCAAAGATGACAAGTCATCCGAACTTGCAGCCAGATGACATCGATGGTTGGGTTAACTTTTGTCTTCTTCATGTTGTGGGATGGGTTGTTTGGAAGGAACGCAACAACCGCATTTTTCGTCAAGAGCTCCATTCCGCTAGAGATGTGGCTTGCTTGGCTGTTATGAATGTCCTGCAATGGATTCTGGCCCATGGGAAAGTTGAGAAGAATGTAGTGGCTTCTTGGCGTTATGCTTTCTTGCGTCTGCTCAGGACCTGATTTTGATTGCGGCTTGGATTCGTTTGTTTTTGCTAATTGTTGTCGAGTTGGGTGGGTGGTATCCTGGGGAGTAGTGTTTGGTTGTTCTGGCTGGGTTGTTTGGTGCCTTTTCCCAAGGGCTTGTTTGTTGTAGCCTTTTGAAGTGTAGGCTTTAGACATACAAATATTACGAACACTGTGGACAAAAATGACAAACTAGACCGACAAACATACAAACTGGAAAAACATCCGGGTTGACTTTGGAGGCTTCTTCCCTATATAGAGGAGTTTCATCCAAAAGTCAACCAGGTTGTTTTTTAGACATAAAAACATTACAAACATGGTTGAAAAAAATGGTGCACAAAAATAACAAAACTTACAAACATTACAAAAGAAACTGACAAACATTACAAAATAATAAAGTTTACAAACATTACAAAATAAACTGACAAAGAATACAAAACATACTAATCGTACAAAATGTCACTAAAAAAATGACAAACAAGAATGATAAACATTACAAACCGAATCGATACAAACATTACAAAATAGGTCAACAAATATCATAAATCCAACACTATCACCGGAAAGTCCTTCTCCGTCGTCGCTGGAAAGTTTCCTCGGGTCAGCAAACTCTCTCTCTCTCTCTCTCTCTCTAGCCGCGCAAAATGGGGAATGGAGTTCCCATCCATGGGGAATAAAAATCCACCGTTGGTGGTACTAGGACGCCGGAATCCAACAGGGGGAAAAGCCCGCCGGAACCAGCAGTCGCCGTCAGCCGAAGGTGGAATCGAAACAGCAGAAAAACTCACAAGCAGGGAGGATTTTTTATTTATTTTGTACTAATTATTAATTAAATAAAACTACAATTACTACATTACCCTTCATTAAATGAGACCAATTACAACCATTAGATTTTAATGAGACTCGATGGCTGAGATTGACTTAGTCATGTGACTAAGGGACCCCCCTAGTCACCTGATCTTAGCCCGAAAACGCCCCAACCCGAATTTGAGGAGCATGTTGATCCATCCACGACAAACACAATCCGTTGGCATAGGAACTGTAATTCGAGAAATAAAAGTGCATGTGAGCCTGAAGGGAGTAGGATTGAAGATCTCCATGAGTGGAGGAGAAGCCCATATCGGCAATGCACAACCAACGGCTAATTCGAACGGCGGCGATAAAGGTACCACCAGCCGGAAAGGTGAATCGCCGCGATTAGCCGGTTACGCTTCGAAAAATTAGGGAACATGGGAGAGTTGAGGAGAGAGCGTTATTTTTTTTTTCCGGTCATCTTACCCCTAAATCTCTTCAATCTACCCCTAATTGTCTCATAATCCCTAATCCTCCCTTTTTTTCTCAATTATCTATCCGACTATCCTTATTTTGAGATAGCCATGCACTGCTGCGCCAGGACAAAGTCCTTAATGGTTAGTATGCAGATAACCCAGATTTAGTAGGCTCCGTTGTCACTCATATGGCATGTGGGTTGTTGATGTTCTGGGTTATCAAATAAAAAATCCCTACTTCGAGCTAAGCTTCCCACATAGACAAACCAAAAGGCCAAAAATACCTGTACTTTCTTACCAATTTTACATTAAAACTAGACAAATCAAAAGTCCCAGGCAGATGAATCGAGCTGCTTGAAATTTACATAGAGGACAGCGTGCAAGTTCTATTTACTAAACAAATGTTAGTTTGATTGATACAATGATGATAACAAATCCAAACAAATCAAACTCCTTTATGCTTTGTGCTAACTGGAGCATGGCTGTACCTGAGACATTCTAATGCCTACAAAAACTGAAGAATGGGGGCAATAGCAACACCATGCCTGTCATAGTTGCGCCTTTTCAACTCACAATCTCGATCAGTGTCATGGCGGCGAAGACAAGGAAAAGAATCCCACCAATGTATGCTATGACCTGTCCAAAAGCACCAAAAAAGAATTTGTGTCCTTCTCCTTTTTCCTCAGTCCATCATAATATAATGGCGGAAGTTGAATAAGAAGCTGATTCTGTACAAGCACGTGTAATTGTTGCAGATTATGAGAAGTGTAAAAGATCTACAACATATATTCCAGCCCAGCAGCGTATGTTATTATATGCTGCTCGGAATTCAGCCTGTCGTAAGGTGATCAGAGTTTTCAAACATTATAGGGTTGGTGGTAGAAAAAAGAAGAGAGTACTAGAGACAAGACATTTTGTGGTTGGGTTCTTTGTACTTGGTTCATGGTTCTTCCACTCACAATAACTCTGGTTATTGGTCTTCATCTAGGATTGTCTTTTTCTTTCGGTATAATGGAAAATCAGTATTCAAAGGGCAAAAGACTGATGAGGGTTGGGTGACAACTTGAATGGTTGAGAGTTAAGATGCTGATGGCACCTTTGAGTCTTTCAGTCAGGAACTCTTTTTTGGGGACCAGGAAGAGGATCACATGTCACTCGTCAAAATGTCATTAGCATATTATGGGTTTTCACTTTTAGTACATAATGAAATTCCAAGTTATGAAACAGGCATTTTATTTCAAGATATGCAGATCAAACAAAGTTGGAGAGGTTTCAAGAGTTTCTGTACCTTCTCTGATAGGAATGTTCCCAGTAAAGAACCTCCCAAGACAGCAATCTGCAAAAGAATGAATTCATGAATCAATGCAACTATGGCGTCCTAGATTATGGTATGTAATGAATGATGATATGAACTTGTGGATTCATAAAGCATTTGATGCATATATGTAGTAGTAGCAGCCACTTTGGTATATGCAGTTTTGTTTCAAGTGTTATGTACCAAGGTTGCAACACCATGACCAGCCAGAGCTCCAGCAATGACACCAAGAGGGGAAGATGCAGCAGCAAGTGCTGGAAGAAGAGAGCAATTGAAGAAGAAAAAAAAAAGGAAGTTTAAGTGCCAAACGGAGAAGCAGAAAAACCTGACAATTATACAACTTTCAGCATAAGAACCAACCAATTGTAGAGAAAAATGATTTGTCACCCCATTCAGCAACAAAAACCAAAGCAAATGTGCTGACAATGGTGTTAGCAGCGGATAAAATGCCTGCACCATTTCCGGAGAACTCTGAAACTGCTAGCTCCGCCTAGTTCAGAACAAGGCATCTTGTCATATTAATGCAGAGTTGCATAGCGTAATCATGCAATGAGGAAATCAGACACTCACTTCCTTTTGTTCATCTTCTGCTTTTGGGCTATCGCTTGAAGAGGCATCAATTAATGTTGATATCCCGAAATAGACCTGAAATATACTCAAGTTAGCAGGGAAAGTGTTGTTTACTTCAATGACAAGCACACAGTTCCAAAGGAATGGCACCTTTAAATACAAACATTCAGGGATATTGACACTCACCAAAAGGCAAACTGCAGCAATATCATCAATAGGCAAATCAGTACCACCGACACTGCAGATCTCATACATTTTGGTTAGTATGAAAAATGCAGAGCGGTTTCAAGTAAACTTCAAATTTCACTAGAGTATCAAAGTAAGTACCTGAACGGAAGGATCTCATCCACATAATGGAAAGTTCTTCCAAGTAACACGGATATGACAGTCATTACACTGTTCACCGCAATTGATAATTGGAGATCAGCATGCCACAGGAAGATAGAGGTAAGGTGCACATATGAGTCACAATTGTTAATATTCAGACATAGGCTTCTCTATAATCAAAACCTATGCGCATTTTGCCTGTACAGAAAACATCTGAGAGGAAGAGCATACCCAAGGGCGCCAAAGGTCCCTGTGAAGACAATGGCGGCAGAATTCCTAGCCGCTAAAAGTGCCTGCAAGTAAAACCAAAAACCTCATCATCACCTTACCTCCAAAATTAAGGCCAGCATTGTACCAATTAATGACTCTGGCTAACTTATTTTCCAATAGCAATGTCGGATCATGCAACATAGTCAAAGACAGAGAAAGAGTTCTCCTGGAGTGCAGTCTTTTACCGCAATGAAAAAAGTTTTGTCACCCAACTCCGAGAAAAATATCAGCAAGAATGCCTGCAATGCAAAATATACAGAATTAGAAGCTCTTCACGTTTTCATTCCCAAATTCAATCCCCCCCAAAATGGCACGCTGATCTCCAATTACTAATGAATCTAAACATAACAAATCGAACTTCTCAATCCTCAACAACAACAAACCCCCCAAAGTGGCAAGTGTCAAAGGTAAAATCGGAGGGAGGATTTCATAACCATGCAGCATTTGAGTATTAAAAAGGTGTCACACAAAAGAAGAAAAATGTGCTAATGGCGGTGGAGTCAAGAACTCATAAACATAAATGTCGTTTATGGTTTAGATAAGAATTTTTGAGTAATGGACGATCAATCATAGAAGGAACAAGGAGATTCTACTAACTGAGGCGAAACCTGTGCGAATGTCACCAAGGTCTCCAAGATAAGGAATGGATTGCAACCCACTGTTTGAGAGCTCCATTGCAACAGCAGCCGCTGGATCAGAGCCCTGGAGCACTAGACACCCAGAGAGGAACACAAATAGTTTCATTACGCCCTCGTGTAATGTAGCAGCTTCCACAGCGCCAATTTCTTGAAATGAATTTATCTTCCCATTGCCGTCCATAATCCGAACCAGTTCTCCCGGCGCCCGGCTGTTGTTGGCGCCATCACCAACTCCCTGTGACCAATTGCAACATATCCCCATAAACGAATGACTACCACCTAACTCACGAACCTTCACAGTGAAAGGAGAGAGAGAGAGAGAGAGAGAGAGAGAGAGAGAGAGAGCAGGGTTACAGAATCGTGAGAATCGTTGTCATACACACCGGGAAGCATCCCTCGAAGTACTTCCTGAAACGGCTCAGTGAGCCCTTTTCTCGAACACCTGATCAGCAATACCACAATTTACAATTACGAAATTGGCGGGCAATCACATATTGACAAAAATCTTGCAATCTAGTAGTATCAGCCTATATCAATAAAACCCACCACGATGCGAAGGGGGGGAATTCAATTAAGTTCACCTGGAGAGAAGGCGGGAGGATGAGGAAGGAGTAGTGTTCATGGGACTGAGAGGGAGCAAGCGGGACTTGAGAGGCTTGCCGTTGAGAAGACATGGCGATGGCGGCAATGAACAATGTGGGGGGATGAAACGCCCTTCTGAGACCGCCACGCTTCGCATTCTCTCGCTCTCGCCAACTCCTTCCTCTCCAGCTGCTAGCTTTTCTCCGTTCCTTTGCTGGGTTCTTTTACCCTGCAGCAGGTGGTGGTTTGGTCTCTCACTCTCTGTATCTGTGGTGGGAAAATTGCGTTGATATGGTTTGGATATTGCCATGCTGGCGCTGAAACTGGTGGTGGATAAGGTGTTCTGTTGGCTCCCGCCAATACGATTTAAACAGCGGCGTTAACATTCATCCCATGAATTTCTTAGGAAAAATATACATGTTTCAAACAAAAAATTCTCAAAATACACATTATAAAAAAAAATTCCAATGTAGACGTGTTTGGGCATCACTGCGGTTAATAATTCGGTGCACACATGCACCGACGCATCATCGTGACGGAGGAACGCAGGGATGGTTCACCGTGGCGGAGGAGCGCGATGAAGCCTTCACCGCGCTAGAGGACGGCGGTCAATGTGCGATGAAGACCTGACCTGCGTCGAAACTTTAATGAACGTAACTTTGAACTCGGTTATCTGAACGTAGTGAAATTCTTTTTGATTTCACATAATTTTTCGAGATCTTGCAAGCCGCAAATGGTCGAAGGCGGTTTGGTCCAGCCTTCATCCCAAAAAAATGATGTTTGCTACCCCCGAATGAGCAATTTTTCGATTTCGTCAAACTTTGTACGGGCATAACTTTGTGCTCCGCATTTTGAACGTCATGATTTTTTTTTATTTCACGTAACTTTGCGACTTGCAAGATGCCCGAAAACTCTTCCTCTGCAGCGGTGAACCAAACATGTGTAGATTGGGGAAAAAATTATAACGTGTGTATTATGAGAAATTTTTTTTAATAGCATGTGTATTTTGGGATTTTTTTTTCAAATTCTTATTGGTCAAACACGCTAGTCTTTTAAAGTTGGGTAAATACAATATATTAGCCACAACTATTAAGCAGTAGAGAATTATATTGTCAAGTATCGAAATACAAATTATTAACATATGGTTAACAGTTCGTTACCATCATTAATTTTGTAACGGAGGCTGTCAGCATCCATATAGGCGTCCACATCAGCAAATCCGCCGTCTTTGCCATCACGGCTGCTGCACCTTTGTCTAGTCGTATCCGCCCGTTGTAACCCAGTGGTGAAAATCACAGATCCGCCCGGCCGCATGCGTCACCCAGTTGAGAGGAAGAAGAAGCTGCTTGAATTGTTTTGGAGTAGAGGAAGGGTTTCCAGGCATCGCAAGCAGCTCAATTCTTCCACAGCTTGCTAGAGGCGGTTGCAACATTGCCGTAATTGTTTTGGAGCAGAGGAATGGTTTCCCGGCAAGGGTTTGGTAGGGCAAGAGTTGATTTTTAATTTTTAATAATTAATTAATAAGTTACAAAGGTTGACCGACTTATGTGGCATTTGCATTGATTGCCACGTCAAAATTTCTCTTCCACATCATCGTAGCATGTGCCAACTCATCATCATCTAACGGAAGTATTAACGGAGACTTAATGATTAGCTAATAATTTGTATTTCGATAGTTGTGGCTATAAAACCTTGACTATAATTCCCTGTTGCTTACAAAACATAAAACAAACACATTTCAAACCCTTCCAATACCAAACAAACAAAACACAAGGGTTGTTTGGATGCAGGATTAGATTCAAGATTCTGGCACAATCCCTCATAATGCAGGATTTCGGCAAAATTGAAAGGAAAACAAAATTGTAGAAAATTGGTAGACATGGGTTGAAAATCCAACTCAACCAAGTTCGTAATTAGTTAAAACCCTGATCATATCATAGTCAAGGTTTAAGAAAGAGCTAGGCGTAGGGCGAGCGTTGAGGCTCTGCCTTGCGCCTAGCATGTTTAGGCGTTACTTAGGCGTGACTAAGCGTTGGATGTAAATGCAACAAAATATCTCACACTTGCCTGGAATAACAAGTTTATGAACCAATATCGCATCTACCTCTCATTTCTAAACTTTCATCAACATCACATGGTAAAATATAAAACATAGTATGGAGAAATGAGTAAGGAAAAAGAAGCTTGAAAATAGCGAAGCAGATTGAGAGCGAAGAAGCGCAAAAAAGAAAGAAGAAGCTACTCTAAAGATAGTCGTTTCTAACTATATCATAACTTGACTATATAGAAATCAAGACCTTCCTTCCTAGTAACTGATTCAGGGCTAATTGCACATATTTTGCCCCTGGTTTAATTTGCTTAGATGTTTGGGCCAAATTCGCTCATTAGAGGTTGGTTTTACGCGAGGTTCTTCGTGTTTGAGTGCTTTTCAGGATTTAACAGGTGGAACCAGCCTCGGAGGCGAAGGATTGGCGAAAAGGATCGAAAACCGGGAGAAGAGGTGAAAAAACGCAAGTTCACGGCTAAAGGCACGAGTTCACAGTCGCGCAAGACCGTGAAGAAGTGGAGTTGACCGTGAAGCACAACGCGTCCACAGCCAACTTGAAGGTTACTGACGCAAGGCGAGTTCACGGTCACTAAGACCGTGAACACAAGCAGTTGCCCGTGAACTGTCGTGATCGATGCGGAGTGTTTTGGCGCAAGGCGTGAGTTCATGGACGTGTTTGAGAGTTCACGGCCGTGAACTCAGGCCCTCTCGTATTTAAAAGTCGAGCTGCAAGGAAAGAGAAGGGGAGCCACTTTTTGTGAGAGAAACACTTCTTCTGCATTTTAGAGAGAGAACCAGAACCAAAAGAGAAGAAGGAGTTAGGGCTTGGCTTCAAAGGAGGTTTTGGGAAGATTTCCCCAAGAAAATCCCAGCTCAAGGTTGAAGAAGAGAGGAGGCATCCCCACAAGATGGTTGTTTTCACGCCGGAAGGCTCTTAATACTCTTTATGTTATGAAAGAGTACAAAAAAACAAAATTCTACGCTTTTTCAGTATTTTTTATTTGAAAAAAAAAGAAACTTCCACCTTTTTCTCGTTTGTTCTTCCCACTTCTTCCATGGAGTAGTCATCCTCCCACTTGGGTGTAGTGAAATCCTAAACCCTACTATGTAGTTTTCTTGTATGTGGTTTGAATGATTTTTTTTTTTTTGGTAGAAAGTGGTTTGAATGATTGATATTGGGCATTGTTCAATTTAATGTTTGAGATATTTTCACCATGATTTGGCATGCTTGTGCTTAGCAACTTCAGGGTTGTGCATATTTTGTGCTTAGCATCCTAGAGTTGTGCATAATTGTGCTTAGCACCCCCTAAGTTTGTGTCTTTAGGTGCTAGTAATCTAATTTGCCAACTTAGCCTAGTTTAGAGAGGAAAATCCCACTTTTTAAGGGAGACTCAATCGAGTTGGTTTTCCTTCCGCTTTCCAAGCCACCTAAACTAGGTTGAGCTAGGGCAATCCTCAATATTAAATTGAACAAGTCAATTAATCCTGGTTAAACCGTCCGACCTTAGAGTTGAGTGAGGAAGTAAGCCGATTACCAATTGTCTAAACCGAGAGGGTCGAGTGACACGACCTTTCATCCTCACCTCGGCTTAGCAATCGAGACTGTGGTCCCCGACCACAAACGCTTTCCTCTGCGGTTCATGATAAGCGTGCCCAAGACATTCATTCCAACCCACGTAGCAATTGGTAGCGGTTTAGGGGGAAGCGAAATCCAAGTGACTTTCCCACAAAAGAGTCTTCAAATCAAATTATTTTTGCTTTCTTTCATTTCAATTGGCAAACCTTTAAACCAAAGTTTTACCGCTAGATAATGATTTCAACAACCGAAGTAGGGGTAGACGGACCGGCCCGGGTCGATATGTAAATACTTGCCCTATACTACACCCGATTAGAGTTTAAAAACTTGAGCTCTAATTGGGGTTTAATTGTAGTGTAGATTCGAGCGAGTCAGTAGCATATCAAAAGGTAAAAAAAGACATTGTGCCATCATTTTGAGATGCAACTCAATATCGATTAGGCGCCACCGAGGCTACAACGTGATTATGACGCCAACTCTGCTACTTTGTACCAAAGCGAGGCGTTTTCTTTCTGACTTGCGCCTAGGCGAGATTAGGTGAGTGCCTAGACACGCTTTTTTTAGAACCTTGATAGTAGTGATGAATTACAAAACCTTGCGAAACAGGTGAAAATAGGATTTCAGTCTGCTCGTCACTTGTCAGACAGATCCCCGACCTGTCTCTATCATTACGAAACGAGCTTGTTAAACTGTTTCGACCACTATTCCACCAGATTTCAATCCATGGGCTCGCCTAAGGGCTAAGACACGGATTCTCCCTAAATTTACTATTACTATGTATGTATCATTAAAAAGATTTGTATTATGTTTATAAGAAGGGGATAAAATCTTGAAGTTGTCTACACAATTCCCACCATCAGCAACGTTGTTATCATGAGATATACGATAAGTAATCCTTTTTGTTTCTTTAAGAAATATAGAAATTCAAATTTGGTAGATTTAGTTACTGAATTTTTCTTTTTTTGTAGGGAATTTTTCTTTTCAACAAATGAAATGAACATGTTTAGATTATTGAAAGATTTCATAAGAAAATATAATTTTTTTAAATTTGATAGTTATTGAAACGTAATTTTTGAAAGAATCAAATGAAACATGTTTAGATGACTTGTAGATTTAGGGCATGTTTGAAAGTTAGGATTCTCTAAATTGATGTATTTAATCAATGTATGTATTATAATTAGATGCATTGTTTGAATGTATGAATTTGAAAAATACATTGTTTGGAGATTGAATGATTTTGGTGGTCCCTCAAAGAATAAGGAACAAAAAGTAAGACAACAATCCCTCAAACACAATCTCTGCTTAAAGTTGAGATTGACAATCATTCATAATGAATGATTCTGGTGGGCCTATCTGCTGATCAAATACAAGCATTCTGTTTCATTTTAAGCCAAAAAACCGATGAATTCTTCTGATTACATGTATTGGTTAAATACATCATCTGAAATCCCAACTTCCAAACGAGCCTCAGTTATATTTTTCTTGTGTACTTTTCGTAAGGAAGCTCTCGAGATAATGGTGATGATAGTGTCAATTACACTAAATTCTTCACAAGCGATTTCACAATCACAAAATAGAGTTTTATTATGAATCCAACAACAAAATGTGGCTAAAAAGGTTTACAAGTCTAGCACGACTTCAGATATAGGGTTTAGTTGTTACGTGTGTTATTTGTCTTGCGTGTTATTTATATGGAGTTTATGGTTTAATTGTTACATATCTTTACTAGCATTGGGCCCGGCCCGTTGGCCGACAGAGCATAAAATCGGTAAGTGCACTCTATTGTACTATATTGGTCAATTGTCATTGAACATTGCTTTATTGGTGGTCGAGGATGCAGTGGAAAGGTGTATTTGAGGCATTGATTTTTTCCAGTTTGCACTCTCCTTTTGGTTTGTTGGTCTTTCATTCCGCTTGATAAAAAAAAAGATTCAAGCAATACGACTCAAGCAATTTGAATTCTCAACTTCAACCATTCCATCAGTAAGAGCATCTGCATTGGCTTTGCATTTTCAATTGTAAAATCACATGACATGGGTTTGCAATTGCAAAACCAATTGCATTGATGTGGCTACCCATTAAATATTTGCAAGCTTGCAATTACATATGAAAACCAAAAAAGCCTAAAGAACTGAGATTTTCTTCTTCTTTATTTTTCATAATTCAAAGATAATATTTAATTACTTGTACAATTACAAGTGAATTGTATTGATGTATTTACAATGACATTAATATAAATTGGATTGCAAATTTATCTATGTGGTAATAGAACTATGTATGCAATTGAATTTATAATTGAATTGATATGGATGCTCTAAGCAGAAAATATTTATTATGTTGAATGGTTTACCCAACACAATGCTTCCACAATTTACCTGCTAATTTTATTTAATTTTGTTGGATTATTGAAACATTTCGACACAATGTAGTAACGATTTGCTTGCTAATTATATCTACTCTTACGAAATAATGTAGAAGTTCTCATAGCCGCAAGCAGAGTAATAAGGTTCGAATAAAATTCAACGCGGATTTCAGGACATTTATCAAATATGTCATAAATAATTCTCATGAATAAAACCTTTCAAGTTTAATCCATCCACTAATATATCCAATTAATTCAATCAACTTGATTCAAATTAAATTCATTGGATTGGTGGAATATGAATATTTGAGAATTTATAGTCTAGTACCTATACTTTTTACAATTTACTTTTCGTTACGTAAATTTATTTTTTAACATGAAATGTCATTATTAATTTTGGCGCCCGAAGTTTCTTATAATAACATTTTAGTACCTAAAATCTCTAAAATTTACGTATAGATCCAATATTTAGATGTCACTTGGATCCGTGATCCAATCAACCAATCAATTTAATCAAATCCATTTGATCTAATCCATATGATCCATAAATTCACCAATTCATGAATCCACCGATCTATGAATCCAATTCATTTTTCACCTTACACGCCGAGAGACTTTCTAGTTAAAATTGTCACGCGCCAAACAACTAACTAAAACGAGAGATTATGTGTGAAATGAGGGATTTGTTGGGAAAGAAGGCTAAGTCAGAAGTTAAAGTTGCTTCTTTATACTTACCCTTCCCCTCGTTAATATAGGATTCAAAGTAGCACCAGTTTATGTTCTCCCTGACATTGATGCAACGTTGACACATGATTCCTTGCCGCTACAGCAACAAACTTCTATGACGACTGTGAACTATTTCAATTAGATATAGCTTAAGCCACCACTGCCAATGAGATGAGTTGTGAGGGAAGCCCCCACAGGAATGGCCAACCCCAACTATTCTATTCGGGTTAGCAAGTGTCATTTGTTAACTAACCAAAAATTCAAATGACATTATGCTGCAAACTCGAGCTCCCAATTGCATAATTAACTATAATCAAACATCTAATACATTTAACTTTTCAAAGGCACATCTAAGCAAAAACACCAAGTTTAATAAAGCTATGTAAAGATCAGTTCAAATGTTAAGACAAATAAAACCAATCTAATAAACCATTCTACATGAAACCAACAAACTACTACACGTGCACCATTCTGCTCAACACCGTCATATTTTTCTCCAATTTTATAGAAGTCCCAAATACCGCTTGATGTCAATGTTGTCGCTAACTTGCCTGTTTATAGCATAATCTGTAACTAATGGTAGCTTGTACTTAAGTGGAAGTAACAAACTTGAATAGCAGCTATAAAAGAGCACTATGACCTGATAAAAAACAACAATTCTAATCTTCACTTATGTGAAACACAATAGTTACCAATAAATGCTTGCTTGAAATGAATCATGTTGATGACAAAATTATACAGATATCCAGTCCTCTAAACTGATCAACAAAGATACCACATCAAAGGCAAGAAAGACAGGAAACCCCAACATCACATTATCCAAAAATGCAGCTGACCTTCTGAGCAGCTTTTCAGTCATAACATATAGAGTTTCATTCAAACTCGACTAACCTTGAGATCGAGTTTGCATTGATGAACTGGACTTGAGAAACAAAACCCTAAGATTAATAATTAAATACCAGCTGGTCAGTTTTTTGGCTTCCAAATATTTTACAAACCGGAGAAATAAACACCTTACACAAAAATTTGCAGGCCTGAAGCAACCTGTTCCCATTCACGAAGAGACTATCAAACATGTGAGAAAATCTGCAGGCAGAGAACTCGATTGGATTTCACAATTAAAGCTAAAAAAAAAACAATACATATAATTAAACCAAGAATTAAGATGAACTTTTACCTACTTTTATGGCTATTGATCTCAGTAGCAGAGAGAGCATAGGGGAAATATATACATGTCAAACCCTTGGTCATCACAGCGGCATCAAAAATAAATCCCTCTATCGGAAATCCAAACAAACCTGATTTTATGTCGCGCCGATGTGAATTATGAGGAAGTACGAATAGTAACCGGGAAAGGAAATAGAAGGGACGACGACGGGTTTAGTTGTATTTGTGTGAGAAGGTTCAAGAGGCACGGAGCGAGAGGGCTTCAATAATTTACTAGCAGTTTCGATTCTAGTAGGGTTTGGAAGGCGGAATATATTGGGACGGCGAGGGCGGGGTACGTACGATTTTCGGTGGGAGTGAGATTGAAACTTAAACGTCAGAATGCAAAAAAGAGAAGGATTTCAAATTTACAGCAAAGACCCTCTGCACTGTGCGGCGGTTTCAACGGATGCTGATGTGGCAAAAGCTGTATTCTGACATTGGCTTATAGTATTTTGTAGATTTGTTTGTACTTTACTTTATACGGTTAAATCATATATTGTAAAATAATTTATTTATAACGTGTTTCCTAACATGTATTTACTTGTCAAATCATCTCCACATTTGAGTTTTGATCTTATTAGTTACTACAAAGCATTACTAAGTTAGACACACTATTGATTGTTATATGAGAGAGGGGAAGTGGAAACTGATGAAGTTATCTATGAATGACCCTCCCCTTTCCCATCTTTTTCGCTGATGACCTTGTTCTCTTTTTTGATGCGAACCCCAAGCAGGTGGAGTTTGTGATTGAATGTTTGGATAGATTATGTGAGTCCTAGGGGGAGCTCATCAGTAAAGAGAAATCTCGTGTCTTCTTTTCTAAAAACACGAGTAAAGAAACTAGAACTAGCACATGTATTAGGTTAACGATCCAGTCCACCACATATTTGGGTAGATATCTTGGTGTGCCTGTTTTGCATGGTATGATTAACCGAAATACGTAAAGATACATTTTGGAGAAAATTGCGAACAAGTTATCAGCCTGGAAAGCTAACACCCTTTCCCTTGCACGAAGGGTGACTTTAGCCAATCTGTTTTGAATGTGATTCCCTCATATGTGATGCAAAATTCTTGTCTCCCTATGTCGGTTTGCAATGAAATTGATAGAAGAATTAGATGGGTTGTTTGGGGTTCACAGGGGGGAAAGTGGAAAGTTCACCTAGTGACTTGGGATACTATCTGTAAACCTAAAAACAAGGGTGACTTGGGTCTTAGATCTGTTCGTGAGATTAATATGGCCTATATGATCAAAATTGCATGGCATTTGTTCAATAATGAGAGCTCTCTTTGGGTGCAGGTACTACAAACCACTATGTACAATAATGGAGAAATCATGTCCATGAAGAAAACAAACCACTCTCCTCTTTGGAAAGTTGTCCTGAAAGCCTTGCCTTTGATGAAGTCAGCGATCATTTGGAGCATAAGAAATGGCACTACAACAGGATTCTGGATACATCGTTGGCTGGATTGCAAGTTGATTCTTGGCGATTTTCTCACGAAGGAGATTACCGAGGAAGAAAGAGCTTTGGCTGTTACAGATTGGGTGACGGATTCAGGGGAGTGGGATTGGAACCGCCTATGTGATCTCTTACCGGAGGATTTCCTGACACTGATTGCAGGAGCTTAACCACCACCTGCAGGGTCAGGAGAAGATAGATCACTTTGGGGATTGGAAAAAGACGCCCAATGTTGACCATAGTCTGCCTATTTGCTTGCCCCAGGTATCTTGGCAGACCCTAATGAAGATAGAGATAGTTGGAAAGGGATATGGAGATGGAAATGGCCTAGTAGGATCAAGCGCTTCTTGTGGCTTGTCACCCACAATCGTCTCCTAACCAACAAGGAAAGAACCAAGAGAGGATTAACGACCTAGAACAACTGCCCCTTATGGATCCAAGTGCAAAGCGATGGAAGTTGGAGTGCAGCTGATGGTACGATAGCAGCAGGGGGCTTACTTCACGACCATTTGGGGAGATGTACGATTGCTTTTACTTCAAATCTAGGCACATGTTCTATTACAAGGGCTGGATTGAAGGGTGCAGTTGAAGGTCTGAAAATTGCATGGCAAAGAGGACACATAAAAGTTCAACTGAAATTGGACTCCACAACCGCCATTGTTATCATAAAAAATTGCGCTTCTACATATCACAGTCATGGCCTCATCGCTCACCAGCTAGGAGAGCTTCTTAGGAGGAACATGATTGTTAGAGTTAGTCATATCTATAGAGAGTCTAACTCTGCCGTCGATTTCTTGGTGTCTAAAGGGCACGATGTTAATTTTGGCACACATCTTTTCGATGTGAGCGATTCAGGACTTTGTTTTTGCCAAGAGCGGAATATTCTTATTTAGAGAAATTTTACAATACTATATAGTATTTGTGCTATAGGTTTTGCCCTTATGGTACAACTTAAGATTGTACCTTTAATGTTATGGTACAATTTTAGATTATACATTATACTGTTTGTACAAATTCTTTTATGATACAACTTGAACTTGTACCTTTATGTGATGGTACAACTTCAAGTTGTAAAGTTGTTCCATAACATAGTGGTAAAAATTCTTTTATGGTACAATCTAAACTTATACATTTCATGTTATGGTACAACTTTAAGTTATACATTAAGCACCAATACTATATAGCATAGTAGAAATGCTCTCATTTAAGCTTGGGATGCAATTTACATCAGTCTTTTTGCAACAACAAAAAAAAGCATTACTAAGTTAAACATTTTCTTAACATAAAAGTTGGGAGTGAGCAAAAGAGAGAAGAAGGAGATATGATGATTATTCACCTGATCAACTATTTTTTGATTTGGGAGAATTCTATCCGATAATAACAAGATAATATACAATAGGGTTATAAGTTTCATTTCACCTATATCGAATTGAGGTTTCGAGTTTGAATGAAATGGGTAAATGTCAAGTTTCGTTAGAATTATTTAAAAAGTTCACGTTTGCCACTAAAATTAATTACTTGAACCAAACTTACGAGAATCGTGGTTAATTAGTGAAAAACATCTTAGAATCAAGGACTGGATCACTAGTATATTCGGTCCATTTGGTCTAATCCAAATATCAGTTCGGTCTATAATTTCTTCAATAATTGTAAAATTTATTAGGACCAAGAACCGTCCAATTCCGTTAACTTAGTCTGGTTTGGCAATCAACTCTCAAAGTTGACCGTTAACTAGGTGACGTGGAAATTAAAAAATAATAAAGAAAATAAAATTTTTTCTTTTACAATTTCCAACTTATTTTCACAATAAAATAAAAATAAATAAAACAGAAAAATATTATAATTAGAGATTTAATCCTTCCACGGAGAAATACTCCCGAAACCTCGCCCGCCCTATCACCGAGCTCCTCCGCCGTCGCCATTCTGGAAGCTAATGAATCTGAGAGAACAAAATGAATAACAAAGGCGGAGAGATGGTCGCCGGTTCACTCTCTCTTCTCTTTCATTGCTCTCCACTTCCACTCGCATTCTCCAGTCACAGGAGCAGGCGAGCAGCCATACCCATCAGAGGCACATTAGAGATCAATTTGCCTCCCACCTTCTAATTTACATTATCCTCCTCTGCCAGAGCATCCTCTCCCGCCTCCGAATTCGAGACCAAGCCAGCCGCCACCTCCCAAACACTCTCTACCTCCGTCAACTCCTACACCCTCTCCTCCTCCGCCGTCGTCACGCCAGACGGCAGATTTGAGAATGCGAGAATCGTCAAGGCCTTTAAATCAATACAGAGATTCAAAAGCAAAATAAAATGTGATCCGCCGCATTACCGATTCCTGGTAAGGAAATGACATCTGCAACTATAATCAATTCCTCAACAATCAGTTCTCCGGCTGCTTGCCGTGGGAGATCGGGAACCGGACCCCGACCAGGATATTCGACGCCCGAGATAACAGGCTCACCGGTCCAATCCCCCACTCCTTGTGCTTGTCGGAGATTCGAGACATAAAAATTTGGCGAGGAACCAATTGTACGACGCCATTCCGGAGAGCGTTTGCTAGCTGTCGAAGCTCGCCAATCTGTCGGTTTCTTCCACTTACCTAGGGGGACGAGTGCTAGGATCTCATCAAGAAAAGGGTTTTGGATGTCCGTCACAACTCTATTTTGGATCTCCCAGGGCAGATATCGTCGACGGAATGTGGAATGTTCTTCACCAATAAGCACACTTGCCCCAACGAGAAACGTTAGTGAGCTATGTCCCCCCGTAAGAATGGCTTCACCGGCGGGAAGAATTTCCACCAACAATCGACTTGGTTTTGGGAGTATTTCGCCGGCAGGGAAGCATAAATTTCTAATTGTAATAATTTTTGTGTTTTATTTATTTTATTATATTGTGAAAATGAGTTGGAAATTGTAAGAGATTAAATTTTATTTTTTTTATTATTTTTAATTGCCACGTCACTCAATTAACTGTCAACTTTCAGAGTTGATTGCCATGTCAGACAAAATTAACGGAATTGGACGGAGAGTGACCAAATTTGAAACTTTTCACTAATTTTAGTGGCCACGAATGAAATTAAATATTTTTAATCATCAAACGTGAACGTTTTTAGTAAACCCAGTGACCAACCATGCAATTAACCTTTTTTTATTTCTTAACAGCTTTATAGTTGTTTTCTTCAGCGAGCGAGGGAATGAAAAACAAAAGGAATGATAAAGCTTTATAGCCGTTGCACTCGAAAATCCTCTGTCTCTCTCTCTCTCTCTCTCTAAGGAAGGGGGAAAAGTCATCGTGTTGCGTCCAAATCTCTTTAATTTGAAACTCGGGATAAAAGCTCCTTCAGAATGAATGGAGTGAGAGGGAAACTCCTGAAGAAGCACAATCCATTAAACTAGTTGTGTATCTCAAGCAGCCTGACCGCGTTCTTCAGCGGATATCAAGAGATGAGTTCCAATCAGTTTTAGAGAATCAGTGGGTCGAACCTCCGAGTGACACTCTGCCGACCACCACCAAGGAGGGCTGGATCGGAGTTCGAGAGACAGATTATAAAGATGGGATAAAACTTGATGATTCGGGTGATTATTTCGTTGAAGATAAAGAGAATTTGGGGCGGCCGCAGGTTATAGCTCTGTTTCCCGGCGGCCAATTGAAAGAAGCTTCTGGTAGGGGCGGCATCGAAGAAGGGGGGATTTGTGACGAAAATGAAGAAACTTTGGGGTCATTCAAGAAAATGCCGTTGTTAGAGATTGACATCTCGTCTTTCCGTCGGCCGGACATGAATTCCAACACCCTCTTCAACCCAAACCTGTTGGCCGCGTTCAAGATCGCGGCGAAGGAGTTTATGGACCGGATTGAGGAAGAAAGAAGAGAGACAATCGCTAGCTTAGAAGAGGATCGGCTTCGAAGAAGCAGGGAAGGCAGCGGAACAGAGCAAGCAAGTAGTCTGAAACAGAGCAACATAGCAAAGAGAAAGTGAACCAGAGCATCCTCTGAAATCCAGCGTAATTGAGGACGAAATTGAAGAACAACTGGATTTCGAAGAGAGATGCCCTCCGCGCGGGGGGGGGGGGGGGGGATCGATAGAGTGATTTCTACTCAACGACACTAAGAGGGATAAGGAAGACGTTCGAGGACTGCAATGGAGTCAGGTTTCTTTCTTTTACAGAGCCTTCGAATCGGATACCACGAGAGGGACGTATCGATGCACAAAGATTACAGGGAAGAGCTCTGGGAGGTCCTGGAAGGAAAATTCATGCCACCGAGACTTTTCGTCAAGGGAAGGTACATTGGCGGAGCTGAAGAAGTTTTGGGTTTGAATGAACAGGGGAAGTTCAGGGTGCTCTTTGAAGGGTTTCCACCAGTTGATAGATCAGCTGAACCTTGTGAGGCCTGCAATGGAGTTTGTTTCGTGCTCTGTTTCAATTGCAGCGTGATAGAAACCCGCTCGGCGGGTAGAGTGGGTCGGGTTGGCCATGTTGGCCGGTTAGGAGTGGCATTTTTGTTATTTTCTCTATTAGTGCTGAAACTCATAAAAGAGGAGGGAGTATGTTCATTTGGGATTAAGCAAGAATATTATCATAATCCCTAATTTTCTCTATTCTCTGTTCTTCCCCAATTCTCTCAAATCCCTAACTCTTTTCCCCCAATTCTTCTCAATTCCCAACCCTACTCTTCTCTATCAATTGGTATCAGAGCCTGGTTGAGCTCGATAAGGCTCTCTGATCTGGACTGGACCAGTGTGCAGCAACAGATTGACGCCATCAGGGCTGACCAAGCCCGCGTCGCGTGCGCGCATGGTAGAGACACGGCGGCTGTGGCGGCGGCGACGGTGGGGCGGTCGGCGGCGCCGCCAACAGGGGCGGCCAGCGGGCTGGGAGCGCCGACGGCGGCGGGCAAGCGAGCGGGCGTGGGGCTGCCGCGCCAAGGGCGCTGCTGCGGGGAGCGTGCAGGACGACTCGGTCGCCGAGGTGGGACAGTGGTGGAGCTCGTCGCAAGCGGAGAAGGCGGCCGAGAGCCGAGAGACGCCGCGCGCGTCGGGGGGCGGAGCGGCGACCACGCAATCGGCAGGCAAGGGGGCGACCCCCTCGCTCTCTCTTCATGCTGTGTCCGGGCTGCCGACACCCGGAACTCTCCGATTCCGAGCTCAGGTTGCCGGTACCTTGGCTTTGACCTAGGTGGACAGTGGTGCCACCCTGAATTTTGTTAGCGAGGAACTTGCCAAGCTTTTTCCACAGACGCCGAGCTTGGTGGACCCGATGGTGGTTCGAGTAGCTAATGGAACACCTATGCAGTGCAAGACTGTCTATCGGGAGCTGTCATTCGAGATTCAAGGGTTGACTGTCACCGCGGATGTGTTTGTGCTGCCCATTCGTGGGTTTGACATGATTTTGGGTGTTCCATGGCTGCAGGGACTGGGACCAGTCACCACTGATTAGCGTAGCTTAACGATGCGGTTCAAATGGCGAGACAAAGAGTGGTGTTTGCAGGGGCTGACCACGGCCCGGGGACCGGTTTCTTTCCTGGAGTGCATAACCGGGAAAGAAGTGGAGTTGGCGGTTAAGTGCTGGTCGGTGGCATCATCGGAGGACCAGGAGCTAGCTCACGATCTTCAGCGGGTACTGGCTGGTTTTCTGGAGCTCTTTCAGACACCGACCACATTGTCGCCACATCGGCAGGTCGATCATCACTTTTAGCTCAAGGAAGGGGTGGAAGCTGTGAACGTCCGCCCATATTGATATGGCCATTCCCATAAGGAGGAGATTGAGAGACAGGTGGAGGAAATGCTAGAGACCGGATTGATTCGGCCGAGCACCAGCCCTTTCTCCTCGTCGGTGCTACTGGTTAAGAAGAAGGATGAGACTTGGCGCTTCTGTACTGATTATCGGGGGCTAAATGCCGCGACAGTGAAGGATCGCTTTCCGATCCCGACGATGGATGATATGTTGGACGAGCTACATGGGTCGACATACTTCACCAAGCTCGATCTGCGAGATGGGTACCACCAGATTCGGATGACGGAGGAAGATGCGCACAAGACCGCTTTCCGGCCGCATAATGGCCATTATAAGTACTTGGTCATGCCCTTCGGCTTGTGCAATGCTCCCTCGACTTTTCAGGCGGCGATGAATGACATATTCCGGCCGCTGCTGAGACGGTATGTGCTGGTATTTTTTTTATGATATTCTAGTCTACAGTCTCTCTTGGGAGATGCATTTGCAGCATTTGCAGGCGGTATTCGAGATATTGAGGCAACATCAGTATTACCTCAAAGCATCGAAGTGTGCGTTTGGGGTTCAGAAGGTGGAGTACTTGGGCCACATTGTCACTCGACAGGGGGTCCAGGTGGATCAATCGAAGATTCAGGCTATGGTCGAGTGGCCAACCCCGACTAGTGTCTCACAGCTGAGGGGATTCCTGGGTTTGACCGGTTATTACCCGAAGTTTGTGTAGGGCAACACTATGATCGCCCTGCCCTTGACTAATCTGTTGAAGAAGGGCGGGTTCGCATGGACACCAGAAGCAGACAGGGCATTTCAGCAGCTTAAGCAGGCCATGACGACCACCCCGACTCTAGTCATGCCGAATTTTTCCCGGACCTTTGTGATTGAGGCCAATGCCTCGGGCCAGGGTATTGGGGCGGTGCTATCTCAGGATCGTCACCCGGTGGCCTATATGAGTAAGACCTTGGCCCCATCCAAGGAGGCTTGGTCTACTTACCAGAAGGAGATGCAGGCTATTATCACAGCAGTGCAGATGTGGAGACCGTACCTTCTGGGACAGAAGTTCCACATTTACACCGATCACCAGAGTCTGCGGAACCTCTTGGAGAAGCGAGTTTCCACTCCCGACCAGCACAAGTGGGTTTCGAAGCTCCTTGGGTATGATTACGAGATTCATTATCGCCCAGGGCCCTCCAACGTCGTGGCCGATGGGCTTTCGCGGCGCTCGGGGGGCGAGGTACTGGCGGCAGTGACGGGCCCGGTTCCCCAGTTCTGGGACGCATTACAGGCCCTCACCGATACCGACACCTACCTGTAGGGTTGTCGGGATATAGCAGTCAGTGAGGCTCCGAGCCATTATTCTTTCAGACAGGGGCTCGTATTCTTCCGTCGACACAATGTTCTTCCGCGGGGATCTTCACTAGTGACGACCGTGCTGCAGGAGTATCATGACTCCCCATTCGGTGGGCACTCAGGTGTCGAGCGGACGCTGAGGAGGATCCGGGCCCAGTTCTATTGGCCCCAGATGAGCCAGGACGTGAAGGACTATGTAGCGTCGTGCGATGTTTGTCAGTGGGTCAAGGCCTCTCATCTGAGACACGCGGGTCTCTTGCAGCCCTTGCCAGTACCTGAGCGGGTGTGGGAGGATATCAGCATGGACTTCATCCTCGGCCTTCCACCCTCCCGAGTAAAGACGGTCCTGTTCGTCGTCGTTGATCGACTGACGAAGTATGCCCATTTCATGGCCCTGGCGCACCCATACACGGCACGAGCAGTGGCAGAGCAGTTTGTGTTGGGGGTCGTTCGACATCACGAGTTCCCGAGGTCTATTGTTCAATGACCGGGACTCCATTTTCTTGAGCCGGTTCTGGCAGGTGGTGTTTACTATGGCACAGACTACCCTGCGGATGAGTTTCGCCTATCATCCACAGACAGATGGCCAGACTGAGGTGGTTAACCGTTACCTGGAGCAGTACCTGCGCTGCTTTGCCCATCAGCAGCCGAGGCGGTGGTTGGCTCTCCTACCTTGGGCCGAGCTATGGTATAACTCCACCTACCATAGGGCGATCCAGACTACACCATTTGAGGCCCTTTATGGGCGGCCACCACCCTCTCTAGTCCGCTACCAGAGTGGTACCAGCTAGGTGGATGTAGTGGATCGATGGTTGGAGACGCGAGACGAGGCCTTGGAGCAGCTCAAGGCCAACATGGCAGCCGCCAACAATAAGATGAAGCAGTTAGCTGATGTAGGGCGGCGCGAGGAGGAATTTGAGGTGGGAGACTAGGTTCTGCTCCGGCTGCACCTGTACAGGTAGGCTTCCGTCTTTCGCCGTGCTTACCAGAAGCTGGCCGCCCGGTACTTTGGACCCTATGAAGTACTGCAGAAGATTAGCCCGGTAGCGTATCGTCTGCAACTGCCAGCTGATGCTCGTATCCACCCCACTTTCCACGTATCATTACTGAAGCGATACAGGGGTGCAGCAGATCGGGTGGAGACCACCGCCCCTCCGGTGTCGGCCGATGGGGATCTCGAGCTCATTCCCTTGCAGGTCTTGGATACCAGATGGGTGAAGAAAGGTGGACGCCTGACGGAGGAGAGTTTGGTTCTGTGGCAGCATATGGCGTGAGAAGATGCGACTTGGGAGGAGACGGTCGTGATACGACAGAGATTTCTGACATTTGACCTTGAAGACAAGGTCATTTCTGATGGGGAAGGGGATGATAGAAACCCGCTCGGCGGGTAGAGTGGGTCGGGTTGGCCATGTTGGCCGGTTAGGAGTGGCATTTTTGTTATTTTCTCTATTAGTGCTGAAACTCATAAAAGAGGAGGGAGTATGTTCATTTGGGATTAAACAAGAATATTATAATAATCTCTAATTTTCTCTATTCTCTGTTCTTCCCCAATTCTCTCAAATCCCTAACTCTTTTCCTCCAGTTCTTCTCAATTCCCAACCCTACTCTTCTCTATCACAGCGGCAGCCATCGAATCACTACTCCAGATGGGTTGTGGAGTGAATGCCTCGATTGCAATGAGAATGGCCTCATAATCTGTCACCATTGCTGTTGTTCATCTCATCTAACCCGATTCCCAATTCCACCGCATTACTCGCATCCTAGATTCTGGGATATATCACTAGACATGCATTTTTTTAAGTTTGAGTTTACTCCCTTGAAACTAAGTGCAGCGAGCATATCCAATACTATGTAATTTCTTCTTCGGATCCTTTCCTTTATCAAAAGGATGGAATCTTTGGGG